GGAAGGAAGGAAGGAAGGAAGGAAGGAAGGAAGGAAGGAAGGAGAAGAAGACGGCAGAGAAGGAGGGGGCTGGACGGAGTCACTGAAATTGCGTGAGCTTAAATGGACTCCAGGGGATAATAGAGGGCAGGAAGGCCTGGGGGAACGTGGTCCATGGGGCTCGCGATGGTTCGGACACGACTTCGCAACTAACAACAACTTTCGGGGGGTGCAGCTTGGAGGCTCAGTCAGTACGGGACGTTCCCACCCTCCATCTGAACCCCCACTCCCGTCCCCTCCTTCTCATCCTCCCAAAGCACCTTGTCTCCCCTGAAGCGCTCGGGCAACACCCAGTAGTAGACGTCCCGTGGCAGAATGTGGAAGGAAGAGAAGGTGAGCTCCGAGCCGCCCGTGAAGCGAATCCCCTCGCTGACCGTCTGGGTGTTGGCCGAGTTGGCGAGGCTGAACTGACCCCGCTGGGCATCTTCGTGAGCCAGCTGCACCTAGAGACAGGAATGAAAGGTGGAGCGGGGGAATCATTCACAGGAAGGGCCTTGGAGGGAATGTCCGAGCTGTGCCTTTCTGGCGTTGCCCGTGCCCCAACCCCCAACCCCCAACCCCTCCTCGAAGGAGTCGCCCCCCAGGGCTCTACCTGATCTCTGTTCCAGGAGGAGCTGGCGCACTGGCGTGAGACCCCCATGCAGAAGCAGCGGAGGCAGCCCTTGGGGTTCCTGTGGCTCAAGTGGAAGCTGCCCGTGGCACACTCATTGCACGATGGCCCCTGGACGTTGGGCTGGTGAGAGGAAGAGATGGAGACAGAAAGATTGAGAGAGAGAGAGAGAGAGAGACGAGAGGATTGAGAGAGGGAAATTGAGAAAGATTGAGATGGAGAGAGAGAGAGAGAGAGAGAGAGAGGCAGAGGAGAGATTGAGAGAGAGGGAGAGATTGAGAAAGATTGTGTGAGACAGAGAGATTGAGAAAGAGAAAGGAGAGAGAGAAAGAGACAGAGGAGAGATTGAGAGAGAGAGAGAGAGACAGAGGAGAGATTGAGAGGGAGAGATTGAGAAAGATTGAGAGGAGAGAGAGATTGAGAGAGAGAGAGAGAGAGAGAGAGAGAGGAGAGAGAGAGAAAGAGACAGAGGAGAGATTGAGAGAGAGGGAGAGATTGAGAAAGATTGAGAGAAGAGAGAGAGATTGAGAAAGAGAGAGAGGACAGAGAGAAAGAGACAGGAGAGATTGAGAGAGAGGGAGATTGAGAAAGATTGAGAGAGAGAGAGAGAGAGAAAGAGAGAGGACAGAGAGAAAGAGACAGAGGAGAGATTGAGAAAGATTGAGAGAGGAGAGAGAGATTGAAAAAGAGAGAGAGGAGAGATTGAGAAAGAAGGATTGAGAGGAGAGAGAGAGAGAGAGAATTCACGCAAGTTGCCAAACAGTGGCTGCCTCTGTAAACAGCCTCCACCCTAAACTCTGGCTGCCAAGCAGGGATGCCTGAGGTCACCCAGCCGCCTTAAGCCGAGCATCCCGCTTATTGGCTCCTGGTCAGCCTTTCCACGCTCCGGGGATCCCCCCTGGATTTCTTCCCCCCCACCCCCCACTCCAGGAGGAGGGGATTCTGCCAGGCAGACCCTGGGATTCGCCTCCTGCAGGGCCAAACGCTTTCTAATACGTTGATCTCACGCCCTCTCGGATTCAGGCGTTCGAAAGGGAAACGGGAGTGGGGGGCTTTGGGGGCAAAGATTTGCTCGGCACAACTCCTTCCTGAAGCATGGACTGGCGTGTGCCTGCTTGCATGGAGAGACACGCACACACACACACACGGACCGGGCTTCCTAATTCGGCAATTCAGCATCCAAGGTCCAAATCGGAGGCCTCCCTTTTTATTTGGCTGAGCCCCAGACGACTTCACTGTCCCAGGGGTACCAACCTCTCGGGGAAGAGCTGGGTTTTGAAACAGGCATGTGTGTGTGTGTGCGTGTGCGCGCTTGCAAATTGCCTCTTTTCCTAAGGCGATGCGCCTCCCACCACCCCCCAGTGCCACCAGCCTACCTTGCACTGGCAGCCCCCATCCGAGGCCTTCCTGCCCCCTCGCTCGTCGCAGACAACCTCCTTCTCTAGAGAGAGAGAGAGAGAGAGAGAGACAAGTAGGTAGAGGAGAGCGCCGCCTTCAGGCCCAGCCTAGTTGACCCTACCTATCTCTGGGATGTGAGGCTGGCTGTGGAGGATGGGCAGGGCAAGGAGCCAGCCTTTAGGAGAGGGGTGTCAACTCGTAAATCATCCCTAGGCCTATTTCCGAGTTGCCGTAAGAAGGAGGGGCTGAGGGGGAGAAAGGCCAGAGGGAGCAGCGCGGCGGATGAAAGCCAGAAGCACATTCCAACTCTTTATCTTGTGGCGATTGTAGCCTAGGCTACCGGATCTTCTGCCCACTAAATTCCTGCATTGGAGAATGTGATTGATGACACCCAGCCCGTGAACGTGTTTCATTGGAGAATCTGATTTGTGACACACCCAGAGGGTTGTGTGTGTGTGTGTGGGGGGGAAAACAGGGTCATAGGTTATAGCAAATCACGTGTCTCGGATGGGGCAACCAAGAACAGCTGGAATAAAAGCAGAAATTCCATCCCAGCAGGCTTTCTCAACATCCTCCCCGTCCCCCCGAGGGTGGTCAGTCCCGCTGGACCTCCAGGGACTTTAAAATAGCCCTCTGGGATCCCAAGGAGGTTACCTGGAATCTGGGGGCCTCCTCCAATCGGCACACACTTCCCACCTGGCTGGATGGGGTTGCCTTCATAGCCAGGAGCGCACCTGGGAAAAGTGGGGACGGACAACAGCCGGTGAGAAAGGAAATCCCTCCCTCGGATATGCCCCCTGGCCATAACCTCCCCCGCTCCCCTCCACGCAGGTGAGTGCCACGAGGCTGCTTCTGGGGTGGGGCAGGTGGAGGAAGAGCCTCTGCGTCTTTTTACCTTTCGCAGCGGCGTCCTGTGTAGCCCGGGAAGCAGGCATCGCAGGTGGCCTGTCCGTCTGTATCCAAGAAGCACGAGTTGGAGAACCTGCCAGAGAGAAAGAACACCCTCAGGGGGGCTGGCTGGCTGGCTGCCCAGGGAGCTCTGCCCTGCCTCCAGCGGGCCACCCTGGTGCAGCTCCCTGAAATAGCAAAAGCGGAACCGGTGCCAGCAACGGTGGAGATGGCTGTGGAAAGGTGCGTGTGTGATGGGAGGGGAAGGGAACTTGGCTTGTTTCAGCCCCTGGGAACTTACGTTTTCTTTCCTGAAGTGTGTGTTTGTGTGTGGAGGACAGCATTCAATAGCAGTGTGTGTGTGTGTGTGTGTGTGTGTGTGTACTAGCTCGATACCTGTGCTCTGCTACAAAACTATGGTGATCGAGCTTAGTTTTTGGGGAGGAAAATAAGGGGGAAAACTTATGGTGGGGAGGGGGAGGAGAACTCCTAAGCATCAGAGCGGGTTAATAATAAAAATATAGGAAATATTAATGGCTCTGATGGTCATTTCGAAAAATCATTTCTTAGTGAGCACCTAGAAGCCAAGAGGAACATATGTGCCAAATTTCAAGTGTGTAGGCTTTACAGTTATGGAGATTTTGTGATGATGCGTAAGGGGCATTTCACAGATAAATGGATAGATAGATAGATAGATAGATAGATAGATAGATAGATAGATAGAT